TAAAGTCAACATTATATATAAGGTATTGAATACATTTTATTTTATTTTTATACTTATTTTATTATTTTTTCAAATAAATATCTTTACTTTAATAAATATTTTATAAATGTAATATTTTTTATTTAAGTAGAGGAAAATTCAAATTTCTGATAACATTCTGATAAGAAGCTACCGTTCTGTAACTTAGTCTTTCGCCCATTCAAATATAACGGTGTTACTTCTCACGATCTGTGCAGCGATAAGCTTTAAACGATTGCAAAAAGCAAAAGAACAGAAAAAATTGAAATGAAAAAGAACTCTGACGCTATCTGCAGTAAAATCGGATAGGAACCTCCTTGCACAAGATTGTAAAACACAATTTAGCACGCAAAGAGATGAAGAAGAAGCAGCAACAGCAGCAGCAGCAGCAACCCCCAAAACCCAAAAAGGATAGATGTGTATATGAAAACCCAAGTCAAATGCCATAACTCAGGCATATGCCATAAAGTTAGCAAACAAATTTCTATGGTCTCTCCGAGTCTCTCTCAGAGTCTGGGCGATCGTAAGCCATAGATAAAGCAAACAAACATAATCATTAAGACCGAGTGCCGAATGACGAAAGCTGAAGGGTTGTGCCAAGAAGGCGACGGGTAAAACCCATAATTTTCACACTTCTCTCAAAAGAAGAAGAAAATCGTGCAATTATGGCACAGCACAAACCTATGAATGAGCAACCCGTCGAGTGCCTAGCCTGGCTTGCTCTGGGACTCGGCGGAGATTGACTGCTCAGCACGCGATAGGAGTTAGCTGTGAACGGATCTCAAAGGATTACAAAGTCGAAGGGGCGTTGACTTGAAAGGATGCCATGACTCTGCATATCGTATGAAGAAATTCACATATTCATATGAGATTCAGATAAAAGGAGATCATCTGCGCCAGCGCCTGGGTTAGCGCCTACCTGGCCAGCCAGCGCCTTGCCAAGTGGGTGTGGCACTTTAATGATCCCTCAAATTAACTGTTCCATTTCAATTACGCTCACAATATGAACGTCAATTGCGACTTTTCACTTCACTCAAATTTATTTGACAGTCTCCCCGGGGTGGCAATCCATCCCATTCGAATTGCTTCGCTATTCGAAACTCTTTTTCCACTCACTTTCCACGTTGCGTTGCGCTGCGCCGGCCGTGACGCAGCCATAAAATTTTAACCAAAAATTACGCATAAATGTCATCGTAAATTCGACAATTTCCCCGGGCCAAACGTGGGAAGTAACGCCCAAAGGGATTTGCTGCGGTTTTCAGCTACAGCGAACTGAGCCGGGCATGAAAGGAAATCTAACTGCGATTACTCTGAGTGCAGAGTAAACAGACAGCTATGCGAAAGATTATTATTGGCTTAAATAATAGAACCAATACTRTTGCGGGCTCTGAATTGCTTTAAAATGTATTATTTTTAGTAAATATATTTATTTAAGAATTTATGTCGGTTTAAAAGCCTATAAAAATACATCTTTGTATATGAAGAAGATGAGGTTTGTAAATTATTTTATACGCTTTAAAAATCTCAAAATTGATTAACTTTGAATGTGAGTCTCTTCGATGTTAATTACTTTTATTTATTATTTTTGATTTATTTTTATTTTATTTAAAAGTGAATTTTTCATACTTTATCATACTTTTCAGCTCTTTTTCACATTTGCAAAATTTAAATAAACATATAAATTCATTTTCTCGAGTATATTTAAAATTTTGTTATTCGTTTTAAGCGGGCCTTATCAATCAAAACTTATTTTTTTTTTTTTTGTGCAGAAATACACATCAGGTTTTAAATTATTCGAGTGTACGTTTTTAATGAATAATGCATTCATATTTACCGAGATGTACAAATTGCATGCGGCTGAGTATTAAAAATTAAAGTAGCTGCAAGTTTTGCGCAGTGGGAAAACATCAGTTGAACAAGCTCAGCAAATTTTAGATTATAAATAACATTTTATACATACAAACATAGTTTTGTATTACATTATACAATATATTGTATAATATGTATATGAGACATGTTTTTAATTGACAATAAATGTAAGTCTTCATAAGCTCACTTTGGGTCACTGTAAGGCAGCAATATGATAGATAGAAGCAAAGAGAACATTGTATGAGGGTGGATGAGAACGTAGATTTTCCGATATTCGAATTTTTTAGTCTGCTTCTGAAAAGAGAAACGATTGTGCGATTGATGCGTGCTAAGCTCAATTAAATTAAAATAGAAAAATTAATTTAGTATGCCGATTGGGTATCCATCAACCTATAAGTTAGCTATAAACCTTGATGTTGATTTGTAGTGCTTAAATACATAGAAAACTAGATTAATTTCAATTTAAACTAAATACAGATAAATGCATATATGAAATACTTATATTTACCTCAATATAGACTGAACGCTGAAACATTACTTTATCAACAGCTACGCCAGAGTCTTTTGAGCCATTTCAACCGCAAATATGGAATCCTTAAATTAACTGTTAAGCTTAATCACAGTTTCTGCCTATATATTCTAATATTTAGGAAATACAACATTATTATTATTATTATTATTATTATTATAATTATTCACCTATATTTCAAATATGTATACATGTATTTGTGCCGTATTTTCGCTATTCGTTAATCATGGTATTTCTTTCTCTTCTATTGTCTTTGTTTTTGTTCTCATCATATCCTTGGAGATAAAGATGAGAGCGCTCCACACGCGTTGGCGCCATCAGCTTTTGTTTTTATGAGCACCCAAAATCCAATTAACACATGCTGCCATATTTCCGGGCTAATCCTTCCCAGAGGCGGCTGCGCAAATTACAATTTAAAAAATAATTACGAAAATGTCTGCAATGAAAATTCGCTCGCAGGCATCGCAGACGCTGCTCCCATTTCGCTGCAATTTCTGAAAAGGCGCTAAATGTTAATGAACATTATAAAAACAATTGCAAGTAATTATAATTTGAATGATAATAGCGAAACTTCTTAATCCCCGCAACGGTAATTTTTATGCCACGCTTCTCGCTCTCTCTCTCTTTTTCTCTCTCCCTTCTCCCTTTGCTGATTCACCCACATCTTTTGGTCTGCTTCACGCTTACAGCGGAGACAATTCACAAAGGCTTTGGCGACGTTTCACACAAAACGTGAAAATGCATAATAAAGGGGGCGTGCCACTGGAACTGGCACATCAAATGACAAAGGGAGAGTGGGAGAGAGTGAAAGAGAGAGAGAGAGACAGCCTGTAGAGAAATGAGTTCCTTGTAATTAAATTCTTTTTAATGAAACCTCAAAACAAACACAAAAGCTTTCTGCAAAAGAAAATCTGAAAAAAAAAAACAAGTCGTAACAATAACGCGAAAAAAACCAATAGCATAAAATAAATGGAAATGTGTTTGAGGCACAGGGGACAAAAGCCGCAATAATAAACAAAAGAGTTGAAATGCAGATTAACAGAAAAAACCTAACAGTTGGATTTGCGTATATTGAACAAAGAATCAGGAAAGTGTGAATATTCTCCCCATTATTTCTTATTATCATTAATGAAAATGGAGGCCTCAGTTTCGAATGGGCAAACAATACATACATAATTTATTAATTAATATNTATATATATATTTATTAGATGTTTGAATTCACTAGTATTATTCAACTTATTATATCACTAAATAATAGACTTACTTAAATTACAATTGGGGTCATTAAAAATATTTAATTATATAATTATTTTTGTTAGACTCCACGGATTAGATTATATTTCATTTACATTTACCTATTAACAATACTCAATTATATAATAATATTGTTATACAGTATGAAATGTTAATCACCTGGAAAAAGTTGACTTGCCTGAAGTAGTCATGGGAAATACTAATATAATACATGCTTATACGTATTTCACATAGTATTTAGAGAAATCTTTCCTTCCTTCTTACGTATAACATAAATATAGTTCTCATAGCTAATCAACTGACACATTTTAGTACAACTCTGCGATCACGAGATCATTTACTTTTCCTAGTTAGATTTCAATCTCTCCCCCTGGCCATATTTCCGCTCTCTGAGTGAAAGGAAATGCTTTCATGCTTTCCCTAACTGCCAGGGGGCTTATCAACTAACTCGCATCTAACAAACAGTCGAATAACAATTCGCAGTTAATTAACTGTACTTTTTGCTATAGACATTCACTGCTCTCTCTCTCTCTCTCTTTCTCTCTTCTCTCTTCTCTAAGCATGATCCGTCTCTGTTGGCCGCAATTAAAACCGCATATAGGAAATCATTCATTTGGCAACAGCGACAACATGAAAAATCCAAATAGCCAGCGAGTTTCGATCGATGCAGTCAGAGATAAGCCCAATGAGCCAATGAGCAAGTTAGAAACAACCCTTGGGCTGGCTAGTCGGATCATGGTAGATGTTAAATGGTAAATGATTTAAAGCAAGTCTCATAATTTCTCATTGTTCATCTGGCATTTCCACAAAAACTGATAAATGAAGCTCAAAACATAAGCGGCAACAACTATATAACCAACACATACACACACACTCGCACAGAAGATCGAGTCAAACTGATAATACCTTTCACACTCTGCGTGAGTCCTCGGCGTTCGCGAGTGTCCTGCGGCGCTGGGACAAGATCGCTGGCCCACGATAGCGTCAGGCTCGCTTGAGACCAGAGAGTCAGAGAGAAAATTGAAATGTTTCGACTCAGGGCACACCGATCGGACGCTCGACCGATTGACCGATCGTTCGGACAAGTGGCTCTGCTAAGTAGCTCGGCTGACTAATCCGATGTCCAAACAAATCGAGGCTGCGGTCAGGTGTTTTGTTGTGTGGATTTCGGTTAATGGGCTTAGGGCTCTCTTTGTCAGCTGAACACCATTCTTTGTGAAGGATTACGTGTGAAACATATTTGTTAAATATTTTCATAATTTCCCACGCGCATATTTGTCTATTTATATTTTCATCATCTGGTTTTTTTTGCATTTCTTTTCATCGAAAATTGTTCTCGTGCATATTATTTGCTTTGGTTTGGAAGAAATTATCGCATTGAATTACATTTCTTCTACAATGTTGTATATACTTATGGCATAAACAAATTTCTCCCACCATTCGAGGGGCTCGATGGTGAATTGTTAGCTACCCGCATTGCCTAATCATAATGCGTTAGACTCACTGTGCAATTCTGAGCAATGAAATAAGCCCAACAGTGGCAGAGTGAGAGAGGGTAGAGAGTGAGAGAAAGAGAGAGAGAGAGACAGAGAGGGGGTGGGGGTAGAGTGGGAAAGAAAAAGAGAAAGTAATATAGCGCGTGGCAGTTGGACCTACACTTTGGGAAATATCTCGAAAATCGAGCCTTTAATTTATTTATAAATTAACTCGCATTTAGTCTTAAAAAAGAAATTTCGAATTTTCTAATTACGAAGTACTATTAGAATTCAAATAATAAAGCCCTAGCAGAGTAATGCAAAATATATGTTGTATAAACACAAATAATATTTAATAATAAATAAAGATTAATAAGATAATAAGATTTAGACACTAATAAGTATAGCTAGAGTATATGAGGCACTGTATGATCATAATTGACTATCATTAAGTAAAATGATGATTCAATGATTTATTGAACTAAATGTAAAATTTACTTAATTTTATTATATGATAAATCTAAAAATATATTTCGTGAATATTAAAATATTACAAATAATGCCATAAATAATCATTTATATATCTNTGGTCAATCCTTTCCATAATTTCATCGACTTTTTCAAAGATTGGTCGACCAGAGCGAGGTGCATCTTTCACATCGAAATTTTCAGAACGGAAGCGAGCGAACCATTGTTGTGCTACACGAACTGATAGAGCATCGTCACCGTAAACATCATAAATTTCATTAGTGGCTTGCGTGGCATTCTTCCCTTTTTTATACAAAAATTTCAAAATATAGCGAATTTCATCATTATTTTTACTCATTTTTGAACAGCTGTAACTTTTTTCAAATTCTTTGAATTACATTTTTTTTTTTTGGCAATCGAAGCTTAAAGTGCTACCAATCGATGTGCTACCAATCGATGTGCACATCATGTGATTTGTAGCACTGGAGATATATGACGCCAACGACATCTATTGGCAAAATACGAAAAAACTTTTTAGACTACCCAATATATAATATTTTTTGAATTACATTTTTTATTTCATTTTTTTATAAAACTAAATTCTAATTTTGTATACAAATAATAAAGATAGGACTCTGTCGAAAATATTTCATCAATTATATACGATCATCTATGTGTCTTGTATTCAGGTAAACCCGATGCCTAAGGACATTTCACACCATAAAAAAGTGAATTAGGCACACTTGCCGCCGCAAACAAAGCGATTCGCGCTACGCAATAAAATCTAATTAGTAAACTTTAAACGAAACAATGGGAAATACAACTAAAACTGTAAAATTTCAGGTACTTCGGCGACGGGTAAAAAAAGATTCGAGAATTCGGCATGGTAAGGACACTTCAGGACAACAAAGATGCAGAGACAAAGGACACACGCGCGCCCCTCGCAGTGCCAAAATACAAAAAAAAAAAAAAAAAAAAAGCAAAAAAAAAAAAAAAAAAAAAAAAAAAAAAAAAAAAAAAAAAAACAACCCCCACCCCGCAAGAGTTTTATTTTATTTTATATTTTTTTTATTTGCAGTCCCTCGCGCTGTTTACTCAAGCAGAAGAGCAAAAAGTTGGGCCGGACTCTAAAGCAGTTGAAAACGTTTCGCTTTTACTTTTTATTTTTGGCAAATTTAAAAAATCAAATGCCACATAAAGTGGCAAGAGCTGATGCTTCTACAGCTACTCCTGCTGCTCCTGCTGCTGCTCGTGTGCCGCGTGTCGAATGCTGTCAATATTTCCGGTGTGTCTAATGACAAACGCATGTTTACACGAGTGCGAACCACGTCCGCGAGCGAACGGGGTGCACGCCCGGAACATTACACGGACATCAGCATTGGCATCAGCAACATCCGCATCATCATCAGTTTAAGAGTTTAAAGCCATTCGGCAATTAAATGGATTTACTCAAGCGTTTCTCTGCGCGATCGGGCACAGCCCCATGAGATCCAGTGTATGCCTGACCTGAATGCTGGTAGGGATATGCTAGTCAACCTGGATAGATTCACGACTGAGGACGAGTCTGAGTGGCATCGAAAGCGAGTGAGCATCTTTCACTCGCTGCTGCAGATTTTCTGCGGAAACCGCATCCGCAG